CCAGGTTAGTTCCTCAACAGCTGGCCTGATAGCTCAGGGTGATGTCTGGATCCAATGTGGTACCCCTGGCAATGAGTTTTGAGTTGGAGTAGTTACACATTAGAGAGCCTGAAAGCAGTTGATAACTGTATCAAAATGTATAGAAATATGAAAAGTATGTTTATCAGAGGATGACACATTTAAAAAATTAGGAAACACTCATTGATAAAAGAAAGTTCTCTTTTTTCATCTAGACTTCAGAGAATAAAGAAATTTCATATTATGGAATTTTTTTCTGCTGTGTGGTAAAAACTGCAAACTGGAGGGGACTATGTAAAATCTCTTGAGTCCTGTGCGTGGTCATTGATTCATTTTTTCAAGGTCTACTTCCTAGATGCCCATTTGGAACCAGGGCTGCACTAGTTGCTGAAGATAAAAAAGTGCACACATTACAGTTCTGTAACATTAAGAGAGCAAATTGTTTCCTAAGCTACATTACCTACATTCATGCAATCTTCAATGCTCTTTCCTTGATTTATTTTCCTCTGAAAACAAAGCCAACCCATAACAGTCGAATTGATTCTTATTTATAGCTGCCTTGCGACAGAGTAGAGCTACCACATAGGATTTCCAAGCTCCTAGAAGTTGTACTGCCAACCCAGAAGCCAGCTGTTCAATCCACTAGTTTTTCCACATTTTCCTCCTTTCCAGTTTACTAGCTCTGAAAAACTTCTAGAGGGTCAGTTGTGAGTGCATTATAGCCTGAACATGAGCAAGCGAGGCATCTTTGCAGAAGCAGACTACCACATTTTTCTCCTCAGAGTAACAAGTAGGTTCAAATTGTGACTTTTCAATGAATAAATAATCAAACCCTTAGCCACTGCACTGCTTGGGTCCTTCTGTTATCCTCTAGGTTTTTCAGAGTCAACTAACCATTTTAGTCTATATCTTAACTGTACTACTATGGAAAATTAAGAGAATGAGTAAAAGGAGGAACAATGTTACTCTGAGGCCAGCAATATGTCTGTTAGTGAGAAGTACCAAGGAAAATGTTTCCATTTTCATCTTTAAGTTTTTTTTTTAATTTTTGTTGTTTTTAGTAAATAAAGCATTTTCCCCATCCTGTTGTTGTGGTGTTGTTGTTATGTGCCATCAAGTCGCTTGCAACTCATAACGACGCCGTGTACAAGAACCCTAACCTGTTCTGTCCTGTTCCAACCTCATTGCCTCCAACTCACCTACTCCCACTACCCCAATCACTGAATCAATCCATCTCATTGAGGATCTTCTTCCTGTGCTGTCCCTCCACTCTCCCAAACATGATGTCCCTCTCCAAGGACTGGTCCCTTCTTTCAACATGCCCAAAGTATGTCAGACGAAGATTCAGAATCCTTGACTAGAAGTAAAAATAATTAATGTTCTTCAGTGAAATATTATTACTCATAAAATTTTTGATCTGAGTGATTTTTTATATTCTGTACTTAAGATAAAATTGTCTCATAAGAGTAACACTTCTGATTGAAAAAGCCAGATTCTTAACTATATTAATTACTTAGAGTAAAAACATTAGTGGTTTGACCCCACCACCTTATCCACATGAAAGCGTCTGAGCATTTCTGCTCTATAACCTGCAGGTCCCAATAAGTTGTGATTGACTTGAAGACAGAGGGTTTGGTATTTTTCAGTGTTCACTCCCATCTGTATATACTCTTACCTATGTTACATCTACTTCTCACCTTATTGAAGGTAATATTAGTCTGGAAACTACAAACTACTCTTTTAGAAAAAGGGAAAAATCTGAAGTTCTACAAAAGCCTGTCACACTTCTAGTTTTTCATTTGTCCCACTACTTCTCTGGGCTTCCCTGTTTATCTTACTTTGTGAGGAAGATTTTTATGTTCACAAAAAAAAATAGAAACTAGCTGTCACTAAGTTATTAGCTGTCACTATTAGCTGATATCTTGGATTATTCTGATGGATAACACTGTGACTGATAGCTTGGCTCTTGGTGGTTGCTGATACTAAAGGAAATGAGACATCTGGCTTCTTCAGCTGTTTCCATCAAGGATTGTAAATGGCTTTACTGACCTGTACCTCTGGCCTCTGCAGATGGTGGTGAGTGCGATCATGGACACCTTGAAGACAGCATTTCCTCGTTCTGAGCCTCAAAGCCCCACAGAGGAGCTGAGTGAAGCGGAGACAGAAAGCAAACCCCAAACAGAAGGCAAGAAGACTAATAAGTAAGGAGCATCTTAGTCATCGAAGAACCTTTTCCCAGTTCTTATATCGATCAGCAGTCCTCAGCCAAAGCCCATCTCTACTGCTAAAAGAAAAGGGTTGAATCTTATATACCATTTTTATGCAAAGCAAGTCCTGAGTTCTCCCAGTGGAGCCTGAGGTGCTACTTAGACACCCTGAACCAAAATGGCCAGGACCTTCTTACTGAAAGGAAAATTCTAGAACGTTAATATTCCTTATCTATTTTCCTAGGAAACAGAAATATTCCTTTTCCATTAAGAATTAGGGCTTATGACTGATCTCTCTATGCCATCATTTCTGGAAATCTTGGCTCTGAAGTTGCATACACTAGCAATAAAGGAAAGGAAGCGGCAGGGCCTATTTTGGAACCTAATTGATTGCTGTTTTTCTTTCTTGTCCTAAGTCTCTAGATAATACCTGGAGCATGTATAGCCAACATAGAAGGGCACTGTTCTTACCCTTATTGAAAACACCACCAGTGTCTAGATGATAATGAAGAGAAAGAGAGAGTGTGTGCATGCATCTGCATGCGTCTGTCTCTCCATCCCTCTATGAGTCTCCTGGGCCAGTTATTACACACTCACAGGCCTTGGCATTTTCTTACAAGCCCTTATTTGGAAGGTGATCATGAGGCCTGTCCTTAGGAGTATCCTTTACTTGACATATTGAGGTTACTATTCATGGGAAGCACACAAGGAATAATGAACTTGCAAAAGGGATACCAAAAAAAAACAAAAACAAAAACAACCTTTGGTGTATGTCACTTGTTATATACTCAAATTTTAAATAAATACATGCCATTGGCTACCACTCTTCAAGCCTATGGAGATGACGCCATGTCAGACTCATCCATACTTGCACTGGCAGGATATCTTTCAGATGTGCACTGTGGTGTGACTTATTTTAGACTCTCCTGGAGTGCATGTGTACACTTTTGGAAATTTTAAGACCAAGTCTTCTCTGGTAATTCCGACCACAGTAAATTCTTAAGTATCTTTTGAGTACTTTTGTTTTAATATGGGGAGTTCTGACGGCTTAGTGAATAGGGAGTTGCTCTGCCAACCAATGACAGATGGTTCAAATCCACTGGCTGCTCCACAGGAGAAAAATGGACAGTCTTCTCTCATGCAGTTCAGTCTTTGAAAACTCACTGTAGAGTCAACTATGAGTGAGTGAATGAGTGTGTTTTCATATATCAGTCAATCTTGGACGGAGAACAAGACCATGTGTTGCATTTGATTCCGTTCTTTGTTTCTCTACCAGGTCCAGACTGAGGTTCTCAGCCAGTAAAATTGCCCCAGCCCTGAGTATGACTGATGCGCATGTGAAGGTCCTCTACTGCCTGCCAGAAAGCAGTGTGGTAAGAACCAACCCTAGAGTGCCTCCAGAAGTACCCATTGGAATGCTGATCCTGTATTTGGAACCACTTGAGACCTTCTCCAAAGTCTCAAAGAGCTTAGAAACCAGGATTTAGACCTAACTTTTATGCTGAGAACATTTATTCCTGTGAATAATTAGAACCCATTCTAGTTTTGTTTTGACAGGTTTGTGGCAGGATTAGAGGCAAAGTCAGTTTTAGGAAAGAACAGAAACCCAAAGTGTTTGCTGCAAGTGATAAATCTGACACATTTTACTTACTATTTGGGTCAGGAAGAAAGATGTTCTAAATTGGTCATAGAATTGATTACTTTTAGGTCCATGATACTTTTTAAGACCAAAGGAGGAAACTCAAGTACTTCATTTACTCTTTTACTTTCTGTGTTCTTCATGTGATGCACCACTCCCTATTTCTTCAGGAATCAGAGGTCCTGTCCCTGTCTGGAATGGAATCCTTTATTGAGAAACAAAGCAGATTATTAGAAGTGCAGCTAGAGGAATCCACAGCAAAAGATTTTGAAAAAATCCCGAATGAATGTGTGGATGGTTTCTTATCCAGTGCAGCTAGGCAAGTCCAGGACCTCAGGAACAATGATCCAGGTAAGTGACAAAGTCCTTGCTCCAACCCAGAAGGCAGGAGGGTTTGATATTTCAGTCTCTCTAGCTGAGTGAGCCCATATGGACACCAGTGTTTGTGGTATTGCACTGGATGCTGAATTACTTCCATATGAGTAAGACAGTATTCCATGAGCTGAGACTAGAAGATGGAGAGAACATGGTTGTACAAATTCTAGTCCAGCAAGATAAGACCTGAAAATATTTTTACCTCCTTTTAGCTAATTTTAGTATACTTTGCCTTATCTTTGTAATACTCCCTTTCTCTAGAAACTTTCTTCTTTAAGCTCTCTGATGCCACTCTTCTAGTTTTCTTTGTCTCTCTTGGGGTCCCTTTCAGGTATCATTTGTAAACTCCTTCAGTAGGCTTCCGAGCGTCAGTTTTGCCTCTTTTACTTTACCCACTCGCACTGGGTTTTATCATCCACACTTTAACTTTTCCCTTCAACTTTATTTACCACATGTACTAATGATACCTGCATAGATTTTTTTTTTCTATGCAGATCTATCCACTTATGGGCTAAAAATCTGTACTTGTTTATAAAATTTTCTGTCATTGCTGTAAAGTCAGAACTAACTCATAGCTGTCCCTCTTGCAGGTTTTTAGTGGCTATAAGTCTCATGGAAGGAGATTGCCCATCTTTCTAGCTCAGAACCACTGGTAGATTTGAACCATCAGAAAGGCTCCACCTTTGTCTTAGCCCTGCAACTCCCTAGGGACTGAGACTGCAATTACAGCAACTAAGTACAACATATTCATGTTAAAATGTGTCTCTTTTTCTACATCTTTTCCTTTTTTATTTGTTGTCACAATAAATAACACCCTTTTGTTACTCAGGATATACCTGAAAGGTTGCTACTGTATCCTTATAAGCATCTCAGGCTGGACAGATTAGTTGCTTCCCAGGAAAGCATAAAATGTATTCTGCAAAAGAAAGAAATGAAAGCACTGAGTATTATTACCTACTATGTTTCTTGAACTAGAAATTACAAGAATACTTGCTGATCCCACTGTGAACAAATCATCTTACTGCTCCTTTAGGAATTTCAGTGAAGCTATGTGGAAAATTGGATTTATAACTTTTTTTCTGCACTTGTACCTACTGTTGTTGTGTGCCTTTATGTCAGAACCTAGTCATAATTGCCATACCAGCATTTTTTCAGAGGCTGTAAAGTGCATTAGAGGAGATTATGCATTTTGCTCCCACAGAGCAGCTAGTGAATAAAAAATTGAAAGAATGGAGCCTTTGGACTAGCAGCAGAACTCTCGTTGGACTACACTGCCAGACTCCCTCAGTGTTATCTAGTTAATAATTCCTCCATTTAGGCTCTAAGTCTTGAAGGGAAGAGGCTACCTTTCTTTCTCCCTTGCATAGCCCATGGATTTAAACTGCTTACCTTTCAACTTGACTCGATGGCACATAACAACAACAATAACAACCTTTCAACTGCTGATGCAACATGTAACACCCTATGCCATCAGAGCTCCTACAGAGTGATAGCTGTAGACATATACTAGACCTGAGAAAATAATAGGAATTTAGATGAATTACTAAAGCTCTGGATGCTGCTGTTTTCCAGGGAACTGCATAAACCCTCTTCAAGAAAATGACACTGAGGCGTGACCCCATACACTCTTGAGACACTGCACAGCAAAAAAAGAAAGAAAAAAAAATCAGCATAAGATAGGTCTAGGAGCAGGATCAAATTCTAGGAGATTGTCCACATCTGAAATCATTCATAGCCTAATGAATCCTTAACAGAGAAGAGTAGGTAAGGCTGGTGCACAGAATACCCATCAGTATATACTTTCAAAGTTATTACTGATGAGTGATTAAAATTGATCATAGTAATAGTACCCAATACCCCAAAATTAATTGTAGACCATTAAGTACTCTTAATGTAAAGTCTCCCCAAAAAGCAAAACAGAGACCTGTTCTTATATTTACCCATGAAACCAGCACATGAAAACCTCGTAAGCATGAGCTCCTTGTGACTTTTCCAGTCTTTGATAGGAAAAATGTCATTAATTGTCATGCATTTACATAGGTGTAGTGTACTTCCCAGAACTACATATTAATATAAGCCTGCAGCCTCTTGAATACCACCCTCAGCTCTGTGTCATGGAAGAACTTTGAAAGCAGTCTTTTGCAGGAAAATGAAACTCAGATCATTTCTTCTTCTGTCCATAGTTCCATCCTGCTTTGTGGGGGTGAGTGGAATGTGAAGGTGAAATAGGCTTGGGCTTGCCAATACCAGTTAGTCAATAAGTATGAGAATTTATTTGGAAGAAAGTGTACTCTGCATCCTGGAGAAATACAGAAGCTAATTGGGCAAAATGTGCATATAGAAAATATTTAAATAAATAAAAATACCAGGTGACAGATTCTATGGACGCTGAACAAGAGAAATATAAATAAAGAGCCAAGAACTGAATTTTATAGCTATGAGGGACATGGCTTGGCTTGAGAGCATGGGAACTGTAAAAGGACTAGTTGGTCACTATGAAGGTAGAAAGATCCATTGCTGCCCTGGGTCTTTGCTTCCACTGAAGCAAGTTGCTCAGGTGAGTCTTATCTGAGTTGCTTTTGGTGCTGTTTCTCACATCCTTCTCTGGACAGGGACAGGGACAGAGTTAGCTGATACAGCCTTGAATCTGCTGCTCTTGCTGCTCATGGAACAGTGGAAGTGGCTATGTACTGAAAACATGAAGAAAGTTCTTCATCTAGTCTTTGGAACCCTGATTCAGAGGTAAGACTTTTGATCTCTCCTTTCTTGTATGTAGTCTTGAATTGGACAAGAATTGCATGTGTTGCTGAATTCTGTACTAAAAAAGGATAAATGCAGAGTCTAGGGAGCTTAGCGACATGAGGAAAAATAGATTCTACAGTTACCTGGAGAATATTTGCAGTCTCAAACCTGAGAGTTTCCAAACCATTTGCATTTCCTACTAGCTTTGTACACAGATGAGATCTTCAGCTTCTTTCTTTCTCCAGACCATACAGCAAATGCAAGCTTCACTTAACTGAAGTAGACCAAAGGCAGCCCCTAGACCAGAAAGCCAGGTAGAAGTTTGGGATTGGTCACTCTCGTTCTGGTCTCTCTGCTTAGGTGGTGTGTCGGCATTTCCCACAATCCTGACCTACTTGACCAGCATGTGACTTGTGCTTATAGGCCACTTGGCAGATTATTTTTAAAAAGAATTGTATATTTATTCACAATTCAATGATAATAAGCAATTTTTATCTCCTTTTCTATACTCAGTCATACATAGAATCTGGAAGATTTAATCCTGAATAGGCTAAGTAAAAGGAGAGGATTCATATGTATAATTTGTCAGGATTCATATGTATAATTTGTCAGGAACTTGTCAGGTGCCAATTTTTGACCTCTTTGCAATTTTCCCCTAATATTAACCAAATAAAGTTGGTATCCTCATTTTACACCCAAACTCATTGCCCTTGAGTCAGAACCTTCAAGTGGGTTTTCAGTGGGTGTAAATCACGTGGGGGAAGTTGCCCATCTTTTTTTTTCATTTTGAACTTTGATAAATGTTGATAGTTGTAGAGGGGCTTCAAGTCTTTTGTTCATAGGGTTGTTATGAGTCATGCTTGCCTCACAGGCAATCAACAACAACAGCTAGTTTATTTACAAAATTGGAATACAAATTAAAACAAATTCTTTAAATTTCCCTCATACCTCCACCCATCAAATTGTACAACCTGATAATTAATCCCCCACCCCTACACACCCTCTGCTTCCAGCCTCTCCCACCCCTCTTGAATCCTTATACTCATTCTACAGAAATGGTTTTATATTTATCCTTGTGGGACTGAGTTAGTGCACTTAGCATAATGCTTTCCAGTCCCTCCCAAGTTAGGTAATAATTTACAAAAGCATTGGTCCTGTGTGCTGCATAGTATTCCATTGTGTTAATATACCATAATTTCTCAATCCATTCGTTTGTGGTTGGACATTTGGGCTGTTTCCATGTTCTTGTGATGGTGAATAGTGCTGCTATACATTGGTATACAAATCTCTGTTTGTGCTTCATTTCTTAGATCCTAAGGATATTTTCCAAGGAGTGGATAGCTGGGTCATATGGAATTTCTATGTTCAGATTTTTGAGGAAGTGCCCACAGTGCCTTCCAGAATACTTGTACCATTTTACAATCCCACCAAGAATGTAAGAGTTCTTTTCTTGCCACATTCTCCCCAATATTTATTACTTGCTGCTCTGTTAAACTTTGCCACTCTTACTGGAGTGAGATGGTTGATTTGCATCTCTCTTATTGCCAGTGATTTTGAGTATTCTTCATATGTCTGTTTGGCTTTTGAATATCTTCCTCTGTGAGAATTCTTTCCATGTCTTTTGCTCATTTTATAATTGGTTATCAGTCTTTTTCTTGTGGAGGCCCAGGAGTATTCTGTAAACTTTTGTTATAAGACTCATCACTGAGATGGTATTACCAAATGTTTGTTCCCAGTCTTTAGGTTTTCTTTTCACTCTGTTGAAAAGTTTTTGATGTGCACAGAGATTTAATCTTTAGAAGGTCTCATGCATCAATTTTATCCTCTTTAGATTGTGCATTTATGGTTTATTTGGCAGTCTCTTTATGCCTTGGACTAGCGCTTCTAAGCATGAGAACAAAGAGAACTCAGAGAAGGAAATCAAGAAAGAAATACCATTTACAATAGCCAGTAACAAATTGAGATACTTGGCAGTGAACCTAACTAGAGATACAAAAGAACTATATAAAGAAAACTGCATTTTTTCTGCAGGACACAAAAAAATCTGAAGAAATGGGAAAATGTGCCCTGTTCATGGATAGGAAGACTTAATATGGGGAAAATGACAATTCTACTGAAAGCAGTCTACATGTTCAATGCAATCCCAATTCAGATACCAAATTAATTTTTCAAGGAGATTGAAAGGGAAATTATCAAATTTATTTGGATAGACAGGAGACCCCTAATAAGCAAAGCACTGCTGAAAAACAAAAATGAGGCAGCACTTCCTGACCTCAGAAGCTACTGCACAACAGTGGTAACCAAAACAGCATGGTACTGGTCTAATGACAAGTACATAGACCAATGGAACAGAATTGAGAACCCAGAAATAGACCTGCTATATGGTCAACTGATATTCGACAAGAAAATCAAAGCTATCAAATGGGGAAATGATAACCCCTTCAACAAATGGTGCTGGCAAAACTAGACTTCCACCTGCAGAAAGCTGAAACAGGATCCACATCTCATACCATACACAAAAATCAACTCAAGTTAGATCAGAAACCTGGGATTAAAGCCCAAAATAATAAAGTTCATAAGAGACAAACTGGCATCAAGCTTAGAAGCCTATCTTTCTTTTTGGGAGCAGCTGGTGGATTTGAACCTCCTGCATTTGTGTTAGCAGCATAACTCCTTTCCCAGTAGGCCACTGTTATTGTTGTTGTTGCTAGGTGCCATCGAGTATAACTCATAGTGACCCTGAACCTTGCCCTGTCCTGTGCCAACTTTATTATCTCTGCCACACTCGAGCCCAGAAGGAACTGTGACAGTTTATCTCTTTTTCTCCTTCACTCACCCTCTCTTTCCAAGCATGATGTCCCTTTCCAAGGAATAGCATCACCTAGATATATGTCCAAAGTAGAAAAGATGAAGTTTTTCCATCCTTGCCTCAAAGGAGTACTCTGGCTGCACCTTCTCCAAAATAAACCTTTTTGTTCTTTTGGTAGTCCATGGGATGGTCAGTATTCTTCTCTAGCTCTACAACTCAAAGGCATCAATTCTTCTTCTGTCTCTAATTTATTGACCAGCTTTCTGATATGTTACAGATGATTGGGAAGACTATAGCCTGAATCAGGTGCATCTTAGCTTTCAAACTGACATTATTGCTCTGACATCATTTTGGAGTGGTCCTTGAGAGCAGACTTGCCCAATGTGACACATCTCCTTATTTCTTGATTGCTTGTACCAAGGGTATTGACTGTTGATCAAAGGAAGATGAAATAGATGAAAGCGTCAATATTTTCTCCATTTATCATAATGTTTACTGTTGGTTCTGTGGTAAGGGCCTTTTTCCCCTTGATTTTGGGATGTAATCTATATTGAAGGCAATAGTCCTTGATCTACAGCAAATATTTAATACCTTCTCACTTTCAGCAAGCAAAGTTGTAGGTTGTTGATGAGTCCTCCTCCAATCCTGATGCCACTTTTTTCTTTATAGTGTCTGGCTTCACATTATTTGCACATAATACAGGTTGAATAGACATTAAAAAAAATGATAAGAAAATATATAACCCTGACACATACCCTTCCTGATTTTAAACCATTAATTCTACCCTTGGTTTGGCCAACAGCTTCTTGGTCTAGGTATAGATTTCATATTAGCACAATTGTGTTTTCTGGGATTCCCATTCTTCTCAACATTAGCTATAATTGGTTATGATCCACACAGTCAGATATGTTTTAATAGTCAATAAAACTATAAATATGTTGCTTCCATCTCTTTGCAACCTAAGTACCCATCAACAAATAGATGGTGTATTCACACAATGGAAAACTACACAGCACGGAAAAACAAGAAACTCAAAATATTACACAGCATATGTTACCCTGGAAGACATTATGCTGAGTGAAATATATCAATAACAAAAGGACAAATATACTGCATAACACCACTTTTATAAACAGGACTGACATTAGGGTTGGAGGGAATCTAAGAAAAAGGAATAAATTGTCAACACTGCATTGGAGCAGATGAAGGAAAGAATTGTTTAAATGGAATATATGATTAAGCATTATTGGTATGACAACAGTCCAGAATGAGGTGCATATGAAAGTGGACTAGGGGAGGGAGTAAAAACTATGCAACAATGAATGATTTTATTTTTTTTTAATTGAACAGGACTGAGTAGGGAGGAAATTGTGCAATAATGAATGAATGAAAAATCCAACTTTTCTCTAAACTTTTGTTAAAATCGCAAAAAACAGCCAACAAACAAAATAGACATTCTCCTGGTATTCTTTGCCTTCAGTCAGGATCTGTCTCACATTAGCACTGATATCTCTGGTGCTGTGACCTCTTCTAAAGCCAGATTGAACTTTTGGTAGTTTCCTGTCAATGTACTGTCATAGCTGGTTTTTAATAATCTTCAACAATATTTTGCTTGCATATTGTTGTTGTTGTTGTTATGTGCCGTCGAGTTGCCTGTGACTCATAGCGATCCTATGTACGATAGCCCTAAACTCTGCCCTATCCTGTGCCAATCTCACTATCTCCGACACACCTACCCTTTATATCCCAGTCACTGAATCAATCCATCTTATCGAGGATCTTCTTCTCCTGCGCTGTCCCTCCACCCTCCCAAGCATGACGACCCTTTCCAAGGACTGGTCCCTCTTTGCAACATATCCAAAGTATGTCAGACGAAGCTTTATGAGATAGTAATAATATTGTTTGATAATTTCTGCATTCTGTTAGATCACCTTTCTTGCAATGAGGACAAATATGGATCTCTTCCAGTCAGTTGGCCAAGTAGCTGTCCTCCAGATTTCTTGGCATAAATTAGTGAATACATGCAGGGCTGCATCTGTTAGTAGAAACATGTCAGTTGGTGTTCCATCAGTTCCTGGGGTCTTATTTCTACTAATGCCTTCACTGCAGCTTGAATTTCATCCTTCATTATCATTGACTCTTGTCAATGACTATGGAGAAAGGATACACCCCTGACACATATTCTTCCTAA